TTTTTAAGAAAAAAATCATCAAAATCGAAGCTGTTCCACCGGGTTTCCAGGTAAAAAGCTTCATTGACTCGACTAAAAGTTTTATAATAGAAGATATTGGTTTAATTAGTCGTGTCATAAATAATGTACTTACCAAATTGCGTAGTAAAAAATGTTATACTTTCCCACATTTGTTGAATCATTTTGTAGACTGAATTTGTTTTTCAGCCTTCTTTAATGTACTAAGCATACTTAAGTAAGTATTAGATAACAGCGCGAGTGATAAATTTGGTATTACAAACGTTCATAGGTGGTGGCTGTTTACCCTCAGGAAAAATGTTCTATGTTTTCTTTCATTGAGAGATTTCTCTTATAAAATTTTCTTTTTTTACGTATCTGGGAGAGCTTTTTGGCAATTACCAGCTTTTTGGTATTATAAGCTGTAGGCAAGTCTTTTTTAGAAGTTGTATTTTTTTACTAATTAGTTCTAAGCTTTCGGCTCTTCGTGCTTCTCTCGCTCGATCAAATGTATTTAGGTATACATAGGATGTGTTCAGTAAAGAGAGGTCAAACATAGGGGGATAGGGGTGTAATACAGGTAGCCCTGGTCTACTAATTCCCAATGTTTGGACGGCCCTAATGAAAATACAACAGGAGCACACGTCGGTGTTTGTGTAACGACGAGTGTCGGAGGTATCGACGTTAGTGTGGTAAACTTTCGCGAGTGTCGGCCAACTGGATTTAGTAATAAATTTATATACTTTTTGGAAACAGACAACAACTTGAGGATGGCTTTAACAATTTCATTCATATTTTTTTTTAATACTTTGGAAGATTCCTACAAAAATAAATAAGTATGTTGCCTGAAATAAAATTTGACGGGGAAGATTAGTTTGATAATTAAATATGAGAAAAAGACACGTAATTAAAATTAAAATAATGTAGTTAAGTAATAATAATGTGATTCGTAAATAAAACAGTTTTATGAATAAAATTATTTGAGAGTGCTGAGTTTTTATTTTATATAACAGCTGCACTCTCAATATACTTGCCGGCAGTTTAAAACTGACGTGCACTCAAACCTGATATAGAATTTAAAAGCTATATGAAACCCGTGGCACAGGCTACTATTTTCTAAGATCTGTAAGGACTCGAGTAGTTAGTGAATGGGGAACTTTGAGAGCTGAAGTGAAGGCAGCTCTCTATTCAGTAATGCCAACTTTTATTAAAGAGTTCTAGACATTTTAAAGATATCTTTAGAAGCTCTTAACTTTTCCGCGCAATCGAGTGGGATAGTACGGAACATCTTTTCTCCTATTACCTGGAAAACACACGTGATATTATTGAATGTCGAAATCTGAACAATTTTTACAGGCGATTGGGCATTTGGACGCTGGCAAATGTCTGCACAATCATTGGAATGTCATTCGGCATAGTATTTCATCGAGAATCGTAGGATTTTCATCGTAAAATTTCCAAGTTAATGGATGCTTTATTTGATTCACAGGCATTATTATTTGACGCAATATTATAAAATTAGGTAATGTATAGGCGAAGCTAACTAGAATAACACACGAATTTCAACATCTAAATATCAAGGATTTCTTTTTAATTTAACCAAAGTCTCCTTATCGCTAATAAGTATAAATAACTTTGCACAGCATTAATTTATTACTCGATTACTATTAAGATGTCATGTCTATTTTAATTCATTCATATTACATTCAAGAACTTAGAGAAAATGTAAAATTAACTACGCTATCATTTAGCAAAGTGACCGCAGAAAATCTTTAAATGAAACTGTTGACTGGAACATATTTCTCTGTTTATTTGACAGCGTCGCTTCGAGTTGAATAAGTTTGTTTTTATTTCCAACATTATTTAATGGTACGCTTATATAATTTGTATTAAAAACCCTTCAGTAGCTCCTATTCAAAAGACTGACGATTTAAACTTGACCAAAAGACATCGCCGATTGTGAAAAAATGTTTTGCTCTCCTATCCGTGCGGTCCCATATAAAGGGCGCAGGTATGGTAGGAATACTTCATAAGATGTAAGGGTCCCCCTTATGTAATTCTGTCGCGCTCTAGTAAATCTCTTAATCTATGCTTGGGCTCCCCCTACAATACCTTTGGTACATTTAACAAAAACAAAAGAACACTGATTGCCTTCATTTTGACACGGTATTTCAAATTATTTTAGATTGTTAAATTCGTATCGGATTCGCACAAATAGAGCGTACACTTACGTTCAAATTCAAAACGATCGAATAGATCGAAAACAAAAAGTCGTAGTTCCACACAATTTGGCTCTCTATTGACCTGACATGGGTGTGTACTGCTCTGTAGGAATACGTTTTCACAAAACGTGCTCCGTGTTATTACTACCAATGCTTTTCTGCTTTTGCAAAGCAACTTGTTTTAATCCTTCCACGGCAGCACACAGACACATCAACTAAATTGAATGTTTAGTTAGTCATATTTTATCTTATTCTATTGTTTATCATAAAGAAACCACTTTTCTGTGTGCCATGTTGCCATATTTAGGAATCAATCTTAACCCTAGATAGCTAACGTCCGTCAATTAAACCGCAAATAAAACGTGTATGAAGTGCAACTACAAGAAAAAGCGTATATGAGACCATAAGAATGTGTGCCAATTTTGTGATATGTAGTAAAAAAGATGATATTTGCGTCACTTGCGCTAAAGAGATTTATTTCTGGTTTTTTTTTACGTGCCATATCAAGAAAAACAACTAATGGTTTTATTTTAATTTATCGTTTATTTTGCATGCCAAAATGGTTAATTAAAAATGTTCCTATTCTTCTCAGAAAAGTTATGATAATTTAATTAATGAATTAGTAAGGTCATTTTACAAAATGCATTTTTATTTACAATCATATTAAAAAACAAAACTGTAGATGCCAATTTTTATATTAGTTAATCCAAAAAAAATTTTAAATACTCGTCGTTTTGACTGATTGTTAGCTTAAACAGAGTATACCAGAAGATTAGCTATCTAGGTTTGAAAATTGATTAATTGAATTGTTTCTGTTTTAAGGATGTTTTAGTCTTAGTTTCTTCAGATATTGCCACATAAAATGTTATTTATTAACCAAATACTATACTACACTTTTATATCAAATAACTATAACTTGTGTAGGTAATTGTTGGGAGAAGGAACATTGAGGACTCATATATCTGTATTTTTTTTCTATAAGAACATAAAAGACACATTTGGCATTGATTATTATAGTTCTTGGCAAACAAGAGTGACAAGTCTCCTGTGCTTAAACTATTTGATACAATAATTTACTGCTATTACACCTATCCATTTTTTATTATATTTGTGAGAAAGTAAGCAATTGTTTTCAAAGTTATTTAAAGGTACATTTTTGCATACTTATGTCAGTAGTTTCCTTAATGTTTCTTACTTAATGTAACGAAAACGTCTAACTAGCCGCTGAAGTGTAAAAATACACGTTTGCACAAAAGTACCAAAATTAAGTTTAAATAAAATAATTTTAAAGCCTCATCATGATGACGAAGATGCAGAATTGCAGATATTTATGCTAACATTGGATTAAGCTTGAATTTGAATTAAGAATATTGGTGCAAGTGGCCCCTTTTACATTATAAAGTAATTGCGTAGGTATATTAATTCGAATAAATATTTTATTGTGACGCGTAACTGAAGTTAGTAAATGAAAGTGCGAAATCATTCATCACTTCATCCATGCATGACAGCTAAAGTGTAAAAACAGATTGGGGGTTCTCTCGCTGGGTGCGTACGTATGTCGGAGTAGTGTTTCATAAGTGTGGATATGACAGATTAATCAAATGAGAGTCTGGGGCTTTCAATCGCGGTTCAATTTCAATCAGAACCATAATAATTGACCGACAACGATGACAATCAGCTATCAGATGTAGTGGGTAGTGCCCGGGCCAATATAACTAAACGTCGCCGTCGACACGTTGAATTAGTGTTATTAGCACTCAGCTTTGGATGGACACTTGATTAGCCCTCTTGAAATACCTATATCTTATCGTCATCATTGAAATAGTTGAACAGACTAACAACATACCAAATTCGTTTACATTGAAATATTTATGTATAAATGTATACGGAAACATTCGCGATTTGTCTATATAAATTAGGATCCTAGCAATCATAAAGATGTTTTATTTTCGGTGCTCTTTATTAGGTCAAATATACAGGAATAATTTAATAATAAAAGAAATCTTATTTATATTATGTATACTTTTCGAGTTTACTTTGGATATAAATTTGGGACAGTAGACTCTACAAGTAACGAAAATAATGCATCACTTCCCACTGCGAGGGCACAGAGCATAGGATCTTGACCTCTTCTTCACTCTTTTCTGGCGCTATGTACAGAATAGAGAGAATGGGCCATGATCCACCACGCGGGCCCAGTATGCCTTAACGTGCCCTCCAAAGCACAGGAGAGCTCAAAATCAGACTTTTCTTTACATGACTTCCTCGCACGCAGATCAAAACTTATAAACACTGCTCCATCGCGCGTCACGGTGAATAGTAGTTTTGACTGGTTGTTAGGGTGAAGAGTCTGCGAACCAAGACGGTTGTATCTACGTATCTAACGCGCTGAACTCTGATACTGTATCCTATCGTATAGAGCCTTAATCATTGAACGTACGGTCAACCAAGAAAGTGAACAGTTGTAACAAAACTTCCCAAATAACCCTGAACTAAGGTTTGAGAAAAGTTACCTAGAATCAATGGCAAAGTGTTGATGTTATTATAAAATAATGTCAATTAACTGTCAGAATATATGCAAGAGCCTTGATATCGCTTAGGTGGACTCCCCGTTTGCCTACTTAAACATAAAAATGTGAATAATCGACTTATATACTTATATTATTAACCAATTTTTTGGCCGATCAAACTTTGGCGTAAGAAACTTGTTACAAAGTAGCGAAAGAGGTTGATGTCTGTCTAGTCATTTGGCGAAAAACTCTACGAGAGAGAAAGAAAAATAAAAAAAAAAAAAACTATGGAGCTGTCAGAGTGACAACACAGAAATCGTTTCTAATGTTTAATACATAGTAAAATTTCTCGTTTTATTTTTACAAAAAAGAAAAATAACAATCATTATGGAAAGCTTCATAAAAAATATAAAAAAGAAGCTTTCCGTGGACAACATCGTCGATATGATGAAAGAATGTAAGTCAAAAAAATATTGTTTAGTCTATAAAATGTGCGATGCCAAAAGAATGATCTATTTTCTGGAAATTTACTTCCCTCTATAAATTATTAGTTGGTAATTGTGGCAGCAGGAAAATGGTTTCAGTCACGAATGTATTCGTGCCAAGCAAGTTTATTGGTTTTCATAAAAATCTAGCTATAATTAACTTTATTGTTTTAAGCTTTTATGATACACTTAAATAGCCTATTGGAATAAGAGTTACATATCCAGTCAGTGTGATTTAGCTGGAAAACCATAAAAGATTTTGCTTATTCCAAGTTAAATGAAACGAATTTCTGAAGCTGTATTACAGTGTCTTTTTTATCTATTTCTGTATTTCAGCTAAAGTTATCGACGATAATTCCATCAAAGAGGAGGACGTGAGAAAAACTCTTCAAAAAATAGACCCCAACTCTCTTATGGATGTAGACGAACTTGCTGCCAAGTTGAACGAGATATCTGAAGATATAAGCAAAGCAACTGAGAGTACAACAGTGGAGAAAACCGCTGGTAAAATTATTATAGAAGCGGCAAAATCTGGCCTTAATGCTCTCAAGAAGCCCACGCAACAGGAGGAAACGCCTAGCACTGAAAATGATTTCCTAAGTGCCTTGAACAAGGAAGATAACGTATTCAACCTGAACGATGACTTTAACTGAAATTTTAAACGGATTTAGTGCTTCGTGATAGATTGTCCTTTTTAATATAACATTTCATAAACTTTTGCTTTCTACAATAAATTACACGAACTTACTATCGTAATGGTATTGTTTTTAAAATTTTACATTTCTTGTAAAGATTGATGCATACATATACCTACTGCGTAATAGATATCGTATATAATGCTGTATAATGGCGATACCGAACCAGATAACCTGAACAATTTAACTGTTTTTGTGATTGGAATTACCCTGCACTCTACGGGAAACCCAGCAGGGGCACCACTACTCATCGGGTACCAAATAAGGCAATAATGGTATTGATAGGTACTTACACTCCCATGGGGGCACTCTCCCAAGAATGTAACTAGTCGCATGTGCCCCCGCGGGAAATCTAGCAGGGGCGCCACGCCGTTTGGAGGCTCCGCTTCAGGAAGTTTGATAGAGTGGAACAGCCCGGGTGGGCCGCTCGTGGTGACAAGATCGCTCAGGGGAAAGTTTTTATAAGTCGGGAAAAATATTCACCACCGTAACACTGGTGTTAATGTTTGGTGTGATGGTCGGATATGCATGAACAGGGGCACCACGACTTATCAGGTACAAAATAAGGTAATAATGGTATTGATATGTACTTACACTCCCATGGGGGCCCTCTCCCAAGAATGTAACTGGTCGCATGCGCCCCCGCGGGAAGTCTAGCAGGGGCGCCACGCCGTTTGGGGGCTCCGCTTCAGGAAGTTTGATGGAGGTGAACAGCCCGGGCGTGGGCCGCTCGTGGCGACAGGATCTCTCGTTTGGATATGTCTGCAAAGGAAATTATCTATTACACCAGAATTCGTTACATTTCAAAGTTTGTGTGTTAGTGTATTTATACACTCCCGGACTCTTGAATCGAGCCACCTTACATTCCAGGGCCTAAAAGCCCAATACACAAAAAATATTCAATATAACAAAAAAGTTTTTATGCATTTTTAATGCTGGCATATTTCATGAAAGACTGTTGAAAGTTGCTTTTGAAGCAATTTAATGTCGATTTGGTTTGAATTTTCGCAATTGTTGTAAACCAAAGTTTAGTTTAGATATTTTTCTATAATTTGAACCGTTTTTAGCTATAAAATTATGAATACTTCACCTGAAGTAGCCGCGCAAGCTGTAGCTGTACTTCTTCAATCTAGGCTAAGCCAGCGAGATGTGAGTTCACAACTTCACATAAGTCGTTCCGCTGTTCAAAGAGTGTACCACCGATACCTGGAGACTGGCGGCTTCGTTCGGCGAACAGGAGGACCTCGTTACCGAGTTACAACGGCGAGACCAGATCAATCAATACATTGTCACCACTAGCTTACGAAATCGACGCCTTAACTCTGTTCAGATACAAGAACAGCTTAGGGACTTTCATGGAGTGGCTGTAAGTGCTTGGACCGTTAGAAGGCGACTCAATGAACGTGGTTTAAAGCCCCATAAGCCAGCCAATGGACCCAAATTGACACGAGCACACCGAATAGCCCATCTAGAGTTTGCGCGCGAACATCTAAATTGGACTCGACATCAATGGAGCCAGGTTCTCTTCACAGATGAGTTCAAGATAATGCTATACGATAATGACGGAAGGAGTAAAGGTGTACCGAAGACAGAACGAGAGTTTCGCGCAATGCTGTATTGACGAGAAAGTGAGTTATGGTGGAGGATCATGGACAGTCTGGGGAGGAATCTCTATGGAAGGCAAAACTGAGCTAGAGGTAGTGACGGGACCACGACTGCCGCCCCTAGATGGCAATAGATACATTCGTCAATGTATAGAGAACCACGTGATGCCATATGCTGGATTTATTGGCCAAGATTTCGTTTTAATGCATGATAATGCAAGGGCCCATACTGCGGGAATCGTCAGGGAGTACTTAAATGACATTGGTATCATTGTTATGAGATGGCCAGCGCGAAATCCTGATATGAATCCTATAGAGCATCTATGGGATGAGCTGAAGAGGCGTGTTCGAGCTCATCATCCTGTCCCGCAAACCATGCAGGAGCTCAAAAGTGTAATTTTGGAAGAATGGGAGGACATTCCTCAACATGTCATAACGACATTGATTATTTCTATGCCAAACCGTATGAGAGCTATCATAAATGCACTGGAAGGCAATACAAGTTACTAAATAAACATTTCTTTTCGTGTAAAACATGTCTTTTTTTAAAAATCGATTAGATTTTTTTCCTTGAAAAAAGTAAATATGGACTTGTTTCATCGTAACTCGACTTTTTAATAAACTGTAGTTCAAATTTAGAACAGTGGCACTCTAAATGAATGATGAGTATACCAGCTCCAAAACTGCATCAAAACATTTTCCTTCTACATACATCTTTTATAAGTTACAGTACTCCAAGCCAAGAAAATCAAGGTGGCTCGATTTAGGTGTCCGGGAGTGTATATTTGTTACTCAATCACGCAAATCGACCGTTCGGATTTAGATGAAATTTGGCACACACTTAGTTTATTACCTGGAATAAGACATACTTTACAGAAACTTTTTATCATTTATTCTTTTATCAAAAAATGAAGTTAACGCGGATAAAATCGCTGTTCGTTGATACAATATAAAGAGTAACAGGCGAGAAGGCACAATATGTCCCCTTGTTCCACCAATGCCTACCATCTCATTCTCGTTGGCAGCGATAAATGGTACACAATATATATATAAAGACCTATATGCCTACAGATTATCTAATATATAAAATTCTCGTGTCGCAGTGTTTGTAACAAAACTATCAGAAACGGCTTGACCCATTCTGATGAAAAATTATGTGTATATTTAGTATCTAGGTCTGAGAATAGGACGCTAACTAGTTTTTCATACCTATAAGTAAGAGATATTTTTTACAAATAAAAATTAATATAATTTAATATTTTTTGTAAAAACTATATGATTCGTCATAAAAAATAATACAACCCTAAATTTTAACCCTTTTACAATCAACCCCTATTTTGATGGCGGTTCGAAGTTTGATGGGTCAGTTAGTAATTATCTAATATATAAAATTCTCGTGGGGTGTGTAATTGAACTACTCCGAAACGGCTCGACCGTTTTTTTTGGTGAAATTTTATATGCATATTCTGTAGGTCTGAGAACCGGACAACATCTATTCTTCATCCCCCTAAATGTTAAGGGTGATCCACACTTAAAATTATTTTTGGTTGGACAATTTTTTTTTGTTAATTTTTTTTATGATCATCATACCCTAACTTTTCACCCTTCTACCACCAACCCCTATTTTTATGGCGGTACGAAGTTCGCTGGGACAGCCTATATAATATAATACAATACAATATTATTTTGTTCTTTAATTAATAATAGTCTAACATTAAGTACCTATAAGTCTTTTAAAATTTCTCCTATTTTATACGCGAAAATCTGCTCACCTTTGTGCACCAATCATTGTGATCGGAAACTTAACCATCATACGACTTCTAAGCTTTCAGCTTTTGTAAATGAAGAAAATATTTTTGCAAGTTGCCTTTAAACCTGACAAGGCAGAACTATTTTAATACCGTTAGTCTATTACTCTAACAATAGGAGAGTACTTGCTTGGTGGATCAATATTTACAAAATTTATAATTTCTATAAAAACAAATATGAGAGTACAAATATAAAACAGTAAATACAAAGTTTATAAATTCTATATTACAAATATTGGTAATATCAAAATATTAAAATTTTAAATATTTATTTACCAATGCAATAGTAACGCATTTACACAAAAAGTCTCTAAAGCGTGACTTCATGTCTTATTTTATACGAAGCCTAGATAAGTTTTTGCTTTATGTTAACCGTTACTTAGACCTTTTTTCCTACCCGTAGGAAACCGTAAAACTTCAAATTCAATTGCTAATTCATAGTTTTGCAGGAGTGCATGCCCGCCACTTCGTTTGCATCGAATAATTGGGTTCTCATAGAAAAAAATCATCACCCCTAAGGGCCTGCGCTGCGTTAAGCAGGTGCGGACGTCTGTGCCGCGTGCAATTTCATGTCATTTTATAGAGCAGCGCTGCAACGGGAACGGGAAAACAGGCGGAGCGGACATCTGCTCCGTGCTCCCGCTTAACGCTGCGCAGGCTCAAAGTTTTATTTTAACGACGAAAAGTAGTTGAAATACTTATTTTGAGTCCTCTTTATTTATAAACCATTATTAATCGAAATTAAGAACAATTTAAGTACTAAGTTAAGTGATAAAATAAAAAAAAATACATGTAAAATACTTTACATTTTTTTATTGAGGGTTTCAGCTATATCCGAATTTTGCTCAATCTTCTGTGTCGAGTAGTGACTATTAATTTATTTCTACAAGATGCAAGAACAACGTTAAATAATATTAACATTTTGTTATATTTTAATAAATATTTTTATAGTTATAATTTTAATTTAATTATAAAATATTTTTATTTATAATCCGCTATCCTTAAGCTATAAGAACTTTGACTTAACTGTATAAATAAATAATAATAACACTGCTTTGAATTTTATCGAGGCTATGATGAAAGTGAGACGGTTTCTTGCAATGCTTCAAAGTAGCATCTGTCTTTTCTGCGAGGCAGACTTTACTCCTGTGTTGTTTGTTTTAGTCAAAGACAAATTGTGATAATTATGTAGGGAGAGCCTTAGAACGACTGATCCCCAAGGAACAACATTCAGGAGAACTTATGACATTCCATCTAACAATAAAGTGAATTGTAAATTATACATGTAATATAATCTACCTGATAAGATGACATTGTAATTATAGAGCTACAACAAAGATCACTTGTATTACGAAGGGTTAACGTATAAATGTTTATTAGCGTTAAAGATAGTTTGATAGAGATACTTACAAGTGTTTTTTTCAGGTTCCTGAGAAAAATGGTAAAAGTCTAAACGGAGTCCAGATGGGAAGATACGGCAGAAATACGACAAATAAAATTTGAAAAGTATCGAATAAGTACTGAGCTGAGTCATTCCAGAGATGCGAGCAATAAGCATTCAAAGTAGGACCGCACTAGCGCCTTGTGCAACAAGCATAAGAATAAGTTTGTTTTTATGGGATTTACATTATTTTAATGTGTTTTGTAGAAGCTTGACAGTGTTAGTGACTAGCATTTTCGTCCTACGATAGTAAAAGTAAAGCAGCTATTGCAATTGCAGGACGTAGGATGGGTGATAAAAATATTATCTCCAGATTCTCCTTGGCCTTAGTCTCAACTCAGATTAGACGCGGTCCGGCTGCATCGTCGGTCTACATTCGGTAGCACACGAATCCACACTGGGACCGCGTGGTTTTCCTTTACAGCGTCATCGGGTTTGGGGATGATAAGATCCTAAAGCTACCTCAAGCCGAGCATTGGCGAGTGCCCATAAGTGTACTCCCGACGGCCCCCCATCTCCTTTCCATTTGGAGCCTCTAGACCAGTCAAACCTGAGGGGGTCGGCTCAATTATAGGGCGTCTCTGAGACTCAGACCTCAGTTCTAGTTAGCCGTTGCCGTGGGAGCCCGCGTGGTTCGAGACCCATCCTCTTTGTACCGTCCCATGGCCAAGCTTGTGCTCAAGCAGTGGGGATATTGATAGGCTGGTAATGAAAAACAGTACATTATTTTACACATACATTCTGTTGAATGAATACAGCGATAAAAACTCGCATAGAAAACTCTTACCTCTGATATACCTATAGGTACTACCATTTTATATGTGTACCTACTAATGTGTAATTACTATTCGCTTTCCCAAGATTGTACTCGTATAAATTATAGTACGCGCAGAATTATTGTGCACCTGT